TTTACTCCACCCATCTTCCCTGTTCTTTAATTTTTCAGGTCATCAGGTCCTCATAAGTGGACAACATTCACTGTACTATATATGGTATTTTAACAACAGCTCACTATTCCTGTTTACCTTACAAGAACTCTCACTTCTATTATATCACAACTCTAAGATGCCTTTCTTGATTTACACATACTTCTATCTTTCCTTCCCCTCCACTCTTCATCCAGTCCTCAAGTCATCCTGTTCATCAGTAATACTGAATTGCCTATTTTGGATCCTCTTCTATCTAAATCCTGTTTTCCTATTCCCACCCTTGAGCCGTTCAGAAAAGAACAATTACAGATTGATTGACTGCATTAAGTTGGGTGAGGCAGGTATTAAGTGTTTTCATCCTCCAAAATCCAAACTCACTGTCATTGAGTTGAATCTGACTCATAGCGACCGCTCCTTGGGTTTCCGAGGTTGTATCTCTATGGAAGTAGATTGCCTAGTCTTCCTTCCAAGGAGTGGGTGGTGGGTTTGAACTGCCAGCCTTCTTGTTAGCAGTCAAATGCCTTAGGCACTACGCCACCATTTGGATAGTGTGTTTAGCTGGGAAAACCTAACCTGGCCTACAGTGTCTGCAGGGATTAGTTATGTGCTTTATCAGGTTCAGATGATGCCAAGTTGGAGAACGAACACTAGTATTTGGACCTGGGAGGCTGAGCTTACCTGACAGAGTCTCCCACTTGCTGTTCTCTTTCTCCTCTTTTTGTAGGTCATGAAAGATCAATATGTCCTTAGAGAGAAGGTCTTGGCATAGAAGCTCACAGTAGAGGGGGTTTCCAAAGCACCTGTGGAGAAAATAGCTGCAAAGAGGTAAACAGATTGCTGACTAAACTGCCCACTTGAAGAGAGCCCACCATAAAAGTACTTGATACCGAGGACTCTTTCTTCTTTTGTCAAAGCCAGCATTTGATGCATTAACAGAGGGGAGCAGCAACACAAAAATGCCAAACTTAATTTCTATTTGGTTTTGAAATACAGTTTGACAGTAACTTTTCTTTCTCATTTTGCTTCTATTGACATTAATAGGAACTACACCTCTTGCTAAAAGGCCTTGCCTTGACCACAGGTAATTCACACAGTAAGAAAGCCATCCAATCCTAACTTCATTTGAAAACCTCAATGGATAGCCCAGGGAAGTAGGCCATTACTCATTTACTTAAATCTAGTCCTGGACCGCCTTATGGTTACTAATGCCATTCTCTCTCCCAACCCCAGTAAGTGAGACCTTAATCTTCTCACTTATATTATGACATTGGCTCCTCCCTTAATGAAGTGACCAACTAGTCCTAGCCACTCACATCTGCAGCTCTTGGGGGATGCTCACCACCCCCAGTTCCCAACATGCCATTCTGAATAGTGAGGTCACTGACAACATCGAAATGGGCATAAGGGTAGCCTGAGGGATCTGCAGGAAGTGTTGGGCCCAGTCACAGAGGGTGAAGGTGGAGGTCAACGTCATCACCATGATGATGGGCACACAGGAGAGCAATGTGCCCAAAAACTCCCAGGAAGCTGCATCCATATACTGGGCCTCATCAATGAGGAAAATCAGTGGTGTTTCCCTCACTGCCTGGAGATAACAGCAAAGAAATAATAACAATTCTAATTAGAAATGAAGTCACCTGATTTTCAAATCTACCCTGAATTTCCTAACAATAATTTAAATGAAATGTCAACACAAGCTAGGGCTCTTGGAGTAAACTGTGTCCTGAATCCAGATAACATTTTATTTAGTAAATATAAAATATGGTCTGTATGTCTAATTCCTAAAGTACTGAGTTTCTTTAGACAAGTAAACAACTGAAAAAGAAAATAAGCATCAAAATATTCTCCTAATCAAATCTGAAGCTTCCAAATATTTCATTTTGGCAAAAGCTTCATCCTGTCTTGGAATTCATAATACTTAAACCCCAAACCCGAACCTAACCCACTGCCATTGAGTTGATTCCGACTCATAGTAACCCTATACGACAGAGTAAAACTGCCCCATAGAGTTTCCAAGGCTGTAAATCTTTGTGGAAGCAGACTGCCTCATCTTTCTCATTATACCAACAGCTCCCAAATCAGGCTGCACATCAGAATCACTTGGGAGTGCTTGCTAAAAATACAAATTACCAGACCCCATTTGTGTAGACTGAGAAAAACAATATATTCACTTATCTGCTTTCATTCCCTTCCCCATTCCCATTCCATTCCAGTTGCTGCAGGTAACCATTCTGTGTTTAATGTATAATCTTTTGTTTGTATTGTGATCTTATAATAAAATGTATGTTGTTGTTTTGTCAAGTGAATTGTTTTCATATCAATGCCACTGTCTTACAGATCTCATTATTTCTCTTTTTCTTTAAAATTCAAGCATGTCTTTATAATCCCTCCATGTTGCTACATTTTCATCCATTCCCTTACTTTTAACTCTTGCATTCCATGCCATTGTATTCATCCACGTGGTCACATCAACAGCTCCCTGGCCTCCACACACAAATGCTGCAATGATCATGCTTTCTGGGTTATATATCCAGGAATAGAATTGCTGGGTCTAGAGGATGTATGTTATTAAAATTTGACTAGTTACTTCTAGAATGTTTTTAAGAATGGCTGTATCAGTTTCTACTCATACAGATTTTTGATTTAATAGTCCTGGAGTAGAGCCTGAGTACCTGTATTTTTAATAAATAGAGGTAAAATAGCTATTGTCTACTTGCATTGAGAAACCACGTTTTAAATTAAATGATTAAAATTCCATTAACAAACAGGAACAGAAAGAGTAAAGACCTTTTTTTGTATGCTGTTATGTGCTGTAGGATGCATTTAAGGTTAAGAACAGATACAAATAGTGAAGATGTTAACAAATAGGCAGGCAAAGGAATGCCTTCATCAAGGTGTGGTGTAGATAGATTTAAAAGAACATAAACCATCTCCACATAATAAGAGTCAAAATTTTATACGTAGCAAAAAGTACCCACCTCTTGAAGCACTTGAATAAAGCATGCTTTAACTTTCTTCTGTCTGGCCAGGTCATCCATGTGCAAAACTTTGAAGGATAAGGGAAACTGACCAAGAAAATTATTTATATATTAACATTCAAAATTACAATTGAATAAAAACATGTAGATCCTTCAAAGGAAACAGAACACTATTCTATTTTGACTGAGGAAGGGCTTCTGCAAGATTGAACATTGAGCTACAAATGCCAATTCAACATTAGTACATAGTTCAGAAGGTAAGAATCAAAGTCCACTGAGGTTAGAGAGATGTATCTTCATTCTATACTAACTAAACTAACCCACTGCCACTAAGTCATTTCCAACTCATAGTGACCCTGTAAGACAGAATCTGCCCTATAGAGTTTCCAAGGCTGTAAATCTTTACATGAGGAGACTGCCTCATCTTCTCCCCATAGAGCTGCTGGTGGGTTCAAACTGCTGAACTACTGGTTAGCAGCTCAATGCTTTAACCATAGCACCATCAAGCACCTTTCTTTCTATACTAGACTCTGGAAATTTTATAAAGGGTGATAACTAAGGAGTAATGTAACAAGTCACAGTGTTACTTTGGACAGCTCCTCTACTCCAGGATAAATCTGGACATGACACTTGTCAGAAAGAGACACCACAGATATTTCCTAGGCTGAGGTATATAAGGTACCACGGACCTTGAGTAGCCAAAGTGAGAGTACACTTTTACTCCTGTAGCAAAATCAGAGCCCCAGTCCAAGCCTTTTCAGAGAGGGTTATGATAAAGGATTGGGCAGATTATAGTTTTCTCTATTTTCCATTAAATACAATACCTTTCAGGGTAGATTAAAAGGATGGAGGACAAATAAGTGAAATTATGGAGCAGGGAATTCTTAGTCTGCTTATTTTTGAGTACCATATAAACAAAAGACCACCAGAACTTTTTGAGATGAGATTCAGATGTGTGTTAAATGATATACCCCATGGTTGGGGAACAGGGAGGAAGGGCTAAAGGAAAAAAATGCAACTGATTCAAGCACACATGGATATAATTGCTGGAGATGCTTTACTGGCCAGGATCACCTTAATGTATTTAGTACTTTAAATTTTACAATGTAATCTCTTATACACTATCTCCTTTAAGTCATACAAAAATCATACAAAGTATTATCATTACCATTTGTTGCCATTTCACAGAAAAAAACTGAGGCTCAGAAAGACTAACTGATTTGCTCCAGGACATACAACTAACAGGTAGCATAGTCAGTCCTAGAATCCACTCTCTTTAAAAGGAGAAAGCTTGGGTTTTGGTGTCAGAGGGATTTCAAATCTCAACTCTATGTGTTCTTTGGATAAATATTTTGTTGTTGTTATGTGCCGTCAAGTCGGACCCGACTCATGGCGACCCTTCCTTGGGTTTCCGAGGCAGTATCACTATGGAAGTAGATTGCGCCATCTTCCTTCTGAGGAGTGGCTGGTGGGTTTGAACTGCCAGCCTTCTGGTTAGCAGTCAAGTGCCTTAGCCACTATGCTACCAGAGCTCCCTTGGATAAATATAGACATACAGATACACACACATACACACACAAAAAATCTCTGGGTTTATAGTATGTAAACTGTGGATAAATTTACTTTCTCGAGTAGCAATGTGGATTAAATGAGATAATACATGAAAAGTGCCTGGCACAGCATTTGGCATATACTGGGAGTTTAATAAATATTCATTCCCTTCCCCTAACTCCAGTCCAGTGTTTTTCTTCTTGATCAGACCATAATCTTAGAACAGAGAAAAAGAACATAAAAGGTATAAAGTAAAAAAAAAAAAAAAAAAAAGCCCCAAAAGCCATAGCCTAAGACAGAATGAATCCTGGGTCTGACTAGCCACAAAAAGTAACATCCAGTAACACAAATGAGGAAGTCATTGCCTTTATTACCTTCACAAAGAGGAGGTCATTAAAAAGGCAGTGAAGCGGTTCTTCCACCATGCCACAGAGCTGTCTGTGAAGGCACTGTTGCCGGTAGTAAGATGGGCATGTATCAATCTCAAAGAAAATGGCCATGAGAGTCTGGATGGCATAGAAACGCTGCTTGGAATTGGCTTCCTTCAGCTTCAATGGCAACACCCTGGTGAATGACATTATGGTTATCAGGGATCCCTGAGTGAGGTTACTCACCCTATCAGCCCAAGGATGTGGAATGTAATTATACAAGAGTTCTAACAACATGAGAAAGAAACCCCAAGAGAAGTAGCCTCTGACTACCTCAGAAAGCAGGAGTCTTTACCTGTGTCCTTCCTTCTGGGCCAGGAAGTTTATTTCCGCCAACAGCTGGCTTTTTCCATAGCCTTTTCCACCTTCATACAGAACTGCCTGCCCCTGCTTCTGGTGCAAACACTCCTGCTGTGCCATTCGGAAGGCTTCCAGTTCTTTCTCTCGGTCTGTAGAGAGACAGGGAGCACCTAACACTCTTGAGTAGACATTCTATTTATTTAAATTGAATTAATCAGCAAAATTAAGTCTTAGAATGGCTCTTTCCCTCCAAAATTCTTGGGAGAACCCTCAGGACTGTACAGAAATGTATGTGGATCTTGAGAGTTTGATCCAGAGCTTAAATGATAGCATTCAGACCAATTAGGTGCCATGTGGACATGAAGGTTACTATGTCTTCTTAGTTCATTGTAAAAATTTCCATAATAACCATTTAAAATCTTCAAAGTCTGTCACTACCACTTAAAGATAATAGATAAATATAAAGATAGGATAATAGATAAATATAAAGATAGGGAATATAGTGTAGGTGGCAACAGTTTCGTGCTACCATCACTATTTAACTGCTGTTAGCTGCTGCTGAATTGCTTCCCATTCACAGCGACCCCATGTACAGTACAGTAGGATGAAACATTGCCCAATCTTGCACCATTCTCACAATTGTTGCTATGTTTGAGTCCAATGTTGTACCCCCTGTGTCAGTCCTTCTTGTTGAGGGTCTTCCTTTTTCTTTCTTTCTTTTTTTTTTTTTGCCAACTCCCTGTTTTACCAAACATGATGTCCTTCTCCAGGGACTGGCCCCTCTAACAACATGTTCAAAGTACATAAGGCAAAATCTGGCCTGTCTTGTTTCTAAAGAGCATTCTGGCTGTATGTCTGGATAGATTTGTTTATTTTTCTGGCAGTACATGACATATTCAATATTCTTCACCAAAACCATAATTCAAAGATTTTTTCTTCAGTCTTCCTTATCCATTGTCTAGCTTTCACATGCATATGAGGTGACTGAAAATACTACATATAGTTTGGATCAGGTATATCTTAGTCCTCATAGTGAAATCTTTCCTTTTTAATGCTTTAAAGATGTCTTTTGCAGCCAATTTGCCGAATGCAATACATCATTTTACAATGTTTCCATGGGCATTGATTGTGGATCCAAGTAAAATGAAATCCCTGATAACTTCAATCTTCCCTCCATTTATCATGATGTTGTTTATTGGTACAGTTGTGAGGATTTTTGTTTTCTTTATGTTGAAGTATAACTCATACTGAAGACTATTATCTTTGATCTTCATCAGTAAGTGTTTCAAGTACTCTTCACTTTTGGCAAGCGAGGTTGTGTCATCCATATATTGCAGGTTGTTAATGAGTCTTCCTCCACTCTTGATGATGCCATGTTCTTCTTCATATTCCAGCTTCTTGGATTATTTTCTCAACATACAGATTGAATAATTATAGTGAAAGGATACAACTCTGACACACACCTTTTCTGATTTAAACCACCCTAATGGCTGGCGGTTCAAACCCACCAGCCACTCCTCGGAAGGAAGGTTGGGCAATCCTACTTCCGTAGTGATACTGCCTAGAAAACCTAAGGAGGGGTCGCTATGAGTCGGGGCTGACTTGACGGCAAATAACAACAACAACAACAACGATAGGAAATTTCCTCTAAAGATGACCTTTAACAAGCTGGTCCAGCACTCAATGGGTCAACTCTGACTTTCAAAGATTCTTTTTACATGTTGCTACTTTTCATCATTCTGCCTGATATCTGAGCATTCAACGTGGAAAAGAAATGGCAGAGTCTCTTCAAAGTGAACATAAATTCATTAAGAAGGCCGCTCTCTTTGTTTCTTAATACAATATTAAAAGCATTCAATCTTGCATTTTGTTTGTTTTTTAAATCACATTTAGCCATCTAGGGCTGAAAAAATATGTTAGAAAAGAAAACTTACCTAATAAAGGCAGGTCTTTATTTCTCTTTTTATCCAAATGTCTTTTCCCAAACATTCTGGAAAAAAGAACAAAGGGAAATATGTCTATTAAAAATTATTTAAAGAGCAAAATGTCCTCATAAGCAAGTACTTTCTCATAACGAAAGAGGTGCAGAGCTCTCTATATAAGGATTTTTTTTTTAAAAAAGTAAAATCTATAGGTGGGGGGAGGAGTATTATTATTTTAGGTTTAAGGAAGTAAGTGAATTGTGAAGGACACATGTGAAGGACAGCTCTCCTTGATCAAGGAAAAACACCTTGATTCATGACCTAATGCTATTCTTTTGGGAAATGAGCTAAAAGCTTATATAAAAGCTTATATAATAGCTAAAGATCTCAGATACTAAACCACTCTCTTGTGTTCCTTATTCTGGCAGGACAGTCCTACCACAACATCTTTCTTTCTAATTTCATACAATTTAGTACCTGTTATTTCTATGCCCTGATTCTAGAAACCTGGGAATGAACTATCACACAATGACACTCACATACATCTTGTATGGCCAAGATATTCATACATGTTCCCTGGGTTGGAGATGTTTTTCATCATCTTCTCTGGGAGCTTCTTGAAGTTGTAAGCAGGTAGCATGGATCCTAGATATGTTACCTCATCACAGGATACCAATCCTGGATAAGCAGTTATCATTCTGGCCACTAGGCTAACCTTTGGGCCAATAACTGTGCCAGAGAGAAAGGAAAGAAAAGAGTAAAGAATTTTTGGACCATCTCCTCCACCTTCACCCCTTAAGTCACAAAGCCAACAGTCCAGTGTCCTACTCTACCTGTATATTCATGCCTTGCTACTGCCCCAACCACTCCACAGAATACTGGTCCATTGGTGATACTGATAGAAACAAGCCTGAGGATCAGAAAAGCAACAATGGGTAAATTGTCAGACTTTATCTCCACATTAGAAGCCTCTATGTGAGCCACTAGATCTGCCACTGTCTAGCTTCATAAGTTTCATTTTAGAGCTTAGAACACTAAAGGCCAGAGGCTGCTGTCTGTGTACATCACATGAAGGATAGAATCAAAAACCAAATCAAACTTACTGACATCAAGTTGATTCCAACTCATAGTGACCCCCACTGGGTTTCTAAGGCTGTAAATCTTTACAGAAGCAGATTGTCTCATTTTCCTCCTGCAGAGCAGCTGGTGGGTTTGAACTGCCGACCTTGTCGTTAGCAGCCAAATGCCTTGCCCACTATGCCACCAGAGCTCCTTTGATGGATATAAAGAACTAAATATTAGGGAGGTAACCCACAGGAATAGAATAGTCACCCTACTCCAGAAATTATAGTTGGAGAGTTATTATTAATAAAAAGATTTAAAAAAAAATCTTCTATTTGTCAGATGCTTTATATGTGCTTTAAAAAAAAAATACTTTCAAATTGATTGCCTCATCTAATCTTTTAACGAAAGAAAACAGAAAAGGAGATAATTAACTATCCCAGAAAAAGTTAAAACAGCAGAGTCAGGCCTCCTGACTTCTAGACCAATGCTATTTCTACCACTATTCTATCTACACTGCCTCAGATAAAACCCAAAACTGATGTCAATACAGGGTTAATAGATCAAATGATGTTAGAATGTCAAAGTACAAGAATAATCACAATGCGAGGACTGCTGTCTCCGGGGTTTCACCAGTCTCTATCACACCAATAAGCCTAGTCTTTTTTATAATTTTGAATTTTGTTCCACATTTTTCTCCCACTCGATCCAGGATCTCCTATTTTGATTCCCTCTCTGAGTGGTTGAGAGTAGTAGCTGGGCACTATCTAGTTCTGGTCTCAGGGTCACGTAGGCTGAGTTTCGCATGGTCCACTAGTCCCTTCCCTAATGGAAGATTTTCTGAAGCAAATTAATCTTTGGAATACATTTTTTAATGAGATTTGCTCACATGAATGCATACATTCATTCACTCAACAAGCATTGAGGAGTAATTACAGTATCAACTATTGGGCTAGGTGTTTGAAATACTCTGCCCCGGAGAAGTTCAGTCTGGGAAGGAGGTGGTTAGAATGAGGGAGATGAAGACATATTTATATAGGTCAACAAGATAAATACTGTATATTAGATATCAGTACAGCTCGTTAATCAAGAAAATCCAAAGATAACAGATTTCTTTACTGTGAGACTATTCAGAACTGTTATGTTAATGTATATTGTGAACTTCCAAGAAGGAAATAGTTTCACTTTCCAAACATATTTTTTATGAGTATATTAAGGAACTAACCAAAAACCAAATCTATTGCCATAAAGTCAATTCCAAATCATAGCAACCCTGATAAGACAGGGTAGAGTTGCCCCATAGAATTTCTAAGGCTGTAAATCTTTATGGATGCAGACTGCCACATCTCTCTCCTGCAGAGTAGCTGGGGGGTTCAAATAGTTGACCTTTCAGTTAGCAACTGAGTGCTTTAACCACTGTGTCATCAGGGCTCCCTTTTATTAAGGAACTAGTGTTCTGGTAGCATAGTGCCTAAGGCACTTGGCTGCTAACCAGAAGGCTAGCGGTTCAAACCCACCAGCCACTCCTCGGAAGGAAGGCTGAGCAATCCTACTTCTGTAGTGATACTGCCTCGGAAACTCAAGGAGGGGTCGCTATGAGTTGGGGCTGACTCAACGGCATATAACAACTAAGTGTTCTATAAAACACATTCTGGAAAATAGTGAATTAATGATTATGCTTCAAGGAAAAAAACACTGACCTTGAAACTTAGTCTTCAGTCTCTGACACTGTCAAGCTATTTGGTTTACTAACATAACCTCTCCAGACTGCCTCGGAAACCCAAGGAGGGGTCGCTATGAGTCAGGGCTGACTCGATGGCACATAACAACAACAACAACAACAACAACAAATTAAGGATCAGACCAGTTGAACTCTAAAAATCTCATCTACCTCTTAAAATCTATTACATTCTAAACCCAATTAGACCCAAAGGACCAAGTTAGGGCCTGAAAGTCACAGAAGACATCCATAAGGGCATTCTAAGACAATCCCTATGGGCCAAAAAAATGCCTATTTCAACCAACGTTAAGGGCTAAAGGCAGGACCCTTGAAGCCCACAACTCACTGCCATTGAGTCGCATCAGACTCATAGCGACCCCTCCCTGGGTTTCCAAGGCAGTATCTCTACGGAAGTAGATTGCCCAACCTTCCTTCCGAAGAGTGGCTGGTGGGTTTGAATCACCAGCCTTCTGGTTAGCAGTCAAGTGCTTAGGCCAAGAACAGAATAGACCAGCACTAGAAGGGATTGCCCAGAATACTCATAATGGAGTTAAAAGTAGGAGGTAGGATGTAGGAATACCTGCAGATTCTACCACACTTGAATAAAGTGCAACACAATTGATTTGGGCTAAAAGTCTGAGTAACTATCAAGCAACTGTAGAATCTTTGTTATTTATAAAATTAGGAGGTGGATCTGATTCTAGTATTAACATTCTATGGCAATGTCTCTACAATTATATGAAATAAGTAATGTATGTTACCCATTGCAGGCAGTATTTTGCATTTTATAAGAGGCAGCCATGGGTTAATAGAAAAAACAAAACAGGATTTGAAGATCTGGTTTTCATTACTTTGTTGTTGTTGTTGTTGTGTGCCATCGAGTCGGCCCCAACTCATAGCGACCCCTCCTTGGGTTTCCTAGGCAGTATCACTATGGAAGTAGGATTTCCCAACAAAAACTAGCTCTGTTATTTGCTAGTAACTTCTTTTCTATGGCATTTGTTTACTTGTGGGTAAAAGAGGGATAAAATATTTCATACTAGTAGCATATACAAAAGCATCCTACATATTTTCTTTTTTCAAATTGTGATTTGGGTGAAAGTTTACAGAGCAAATTCATTTTCCACTCAACATTCATATATATTTTGTTTCATGACATTGATTGCAATCCCCATAATGTAACAGCTCTCTTCCCAGCTCCTCCCTGGGGTTACCTTTTTCCTGTGTCCTTTCTACGCATTCCTAACCACTGAGCTATCTCCCTGTACAAATTTTACTCTTCTGATCTGCCATGGATGATTGTTCTAAGGAGTGTACTTACCTGGTGTAAATGTTTACCTTATAGGCCCGTCCATTGTCTGCCTGGAAGCCACAGGAATGAGTTCAATTCCTAGCCTGAAAGGTAACTAGGGGCCATAGTCTCTGGGGTTTCACCAGTCTATACCAGTAAGCCTACTCTTTTTTTTTTTTTTTTTCCACATTTTCCTCCCACTCTATCCAGGATCTCCTATTTTGATCCCTCTCTGAGTGGTTGACAGTAGTAGCTGGGCACTATCTAGTTCTGGTCTCAGGGTCATGTAGGCAGGGTTTCACATGGTCCACTAGTCCCTTGGACTAATTGTTTCCATATGTCTTTTATTTTCTTCATTCTTTGTTCCAGAGGAGGAGAGACCAATTGTTGCATCTTAGATGGCCACCTGCAAGCTTTTAAGACCCCAGTTGCTACTCACCAAAGTAGGATGTAGGACAATGTTTTTGTGTAGTATATTTTATACATTTTAAAGAACTATATTCATGTGAGATAACATTTTTATTGATCTCCATTAAGTTATGGCAAGCAAATTAATGTTAATGTTAATATTAGAAATATTTTTTCAAACTTAATTCATGTATATACTTTCTTCAGAGTCTTCTAGTAAAGAAAAGTAATCTGAAAAATTACAACCAATGTTGTTATAGGGAAACTAGTGGGAAATGTATTTTTCTATACCTTCATTAGAATAGGTTTGTATGGAAAGAGGGGGAATGGCTGTGGAGGCCCTCATCAGTTTGAGAACTCACACCAGGTATAACCAAAAATTGAACCAACTCATAGCGACCCCTCCTTGGGTTTCTGAGGCAGTACCACTACGGAAATAGATTGCTCAACCTTCCTTCCAAGGAGTGTATGGTGGGTTTGAACTGCTAGTCTTTTGGCTAGCAGTCAAATGACTAGGCCACCAGAGCTCCTATATCATGTATAGGGGGAAAAAAAAAGGATCTAGGATAGACCAGGAGTGAAAGCCATGGAGCAAGCTAACAAGGAATCTAAGAAATTGTCCCACAACTTATCTCCTCAACTCCTGTATATGGGCAGCCTTTGTTCTGCATCCCTTCCACATATAAAACTCAAAAAAAAAAAACAAAACAAAAAAAAACCCTCACTGCCGCCGAGTTGATTCCCACTCATAGTGACCCCTCCTTGGGTTTCCAAGGAGGTATCTCTGCAAAAGGAAATCGCCCAGTCTTCCTTCCGAGGAATGGTTGGTGGGTTTGAACCACCAGTCTTCTGGTTAGCAGTCAAATGCCTTGGGCACTTTGCCACCAGAGGTTGTACATTTGCTTGTTCCTTTGCAGTATTCTTAAATGTTGCTATGTGAGTTTTCTTTCTTCCACTGGATGCAAACTTAACGTTTACTTTCCCTGAGTATTCAGTACAGAGTTCTGTACCTAGAGATTTCTTATCTTGTTTGCTGGCTTCCCTTAGCATGCTCCCTGCCCTTTAGGCAGAATCTGGATGCCGTCAACTCCTGCTACTTGCCACTACCTCCAACCCTGCTCAAAAAGCCCCTGGGGCCTGAGAAGCTCCTCTCTGCCCC